CAGGGTGCCAGCATTGCCGCTGGCAGTTAAACGTACTGTTCCGGAATGCCAACCGCAGTGGCACAGGATCCCTAAGTGCACATTGTCAGCTTGAACATAATCTAAAGGTGGGCACATAATTCATGATAAAATTGCCATCTAGAACAAAGTGAACCAAAGTGCATATTTTTGGCATTTCATTTTCCACATAGCTGCTAGAGCAGTATTTCTTAGGTGAATATTCAATAATGTTACCACACAGTTTAAAAGACTTAAGAGGTTCCTTTAAGCCTGGCGCCTGACGGCGTTTTTAACTGGTGCCTGCTCACCTATTATGGACTTGAGTCCTGCAATTACAGCTCCTCCATGAAGCCTCACCCCAACAGTTCAACCCCATCACTCAGAAGTGAGCCCTCCTTCCTCTCACCGGCCTGAACTGTGCGCATACTCCTTGTAATTTTACACTGCATTATAATAAGTATTTAATTGTCAATCTGTCAACCAGACTTCTGCTTAACTTTGACAGCAAAAAAAAAAAAAAAGCATTTTTATTTTTATGTCCCCAAGCAGTTGGCATAACGCCCAGCATGAAAAGACGCTTAATAAATAAATCAAGACTGTTCGTGGGTCTGAAATACAACATCTGTGCATGAAGCAGAGATCAGCCCTGGGAGACGCAGCAGGAACCAAGAGCCCTTCTCACTCCCCCACACGCAATTTCTTTCTAATTTTTTTAAAAAAAATAGCCGATGTATTTAGGAGGCAGAGCTGGATCAAGAGATGGGGCAGTGACGCCCCGCACAGTGAAAGGGGTTCTCACTGGTCAGCTCTCCTCCCAAGGATGCTCCACCCTCGGGGCTGGCCTGAGCCACAGTGTCCTAACCCTGGACTGGAACTCCACTGCCGGACGAATCACCTGTTGCCAGGAGGCAGCAGGCAGAAGCCGGAAGTGACCGCTGAACACAGCCACCTCGACTGCAAGACCACGTGCCTGACCACAAAATCAAACTGGGAAAAAAGCTCCAGCGCTTCCGAGGCTGTAGGGCCACCCTTAGCACACACGGCATACTTTCCGAGACAGACCACTCCACCTGCTTCCACTACCCTCCGACAGTCGGTAAACTCCCCCTTCCTGTAAGGCACTTAGATGCCCCTCTGTGACCCCAAATCAGACTGAAATCTACTTAAATTTCTGGCGCTAAGTCATGAGGCTTATAGCTTCAAGATGGGTCGATATTGCAAAGCAGGCTTGGGGTAGCCATCCAGAAGTGGTGCTGCCCGGGTTTGAGGCCTTCTGAGCAATCCTGGCCTGTGTGCCCATGACCCACGCACCCTTTCAGCGCTGCCACCACTTCACACCCTCTCATGGCGGTTAACTACGTGGTACCCCTGGTACTTTGTTCTTGTTAAGCCACTGAGAAGCCTTTGGCCTAGGGCCGCGGGAACACGCAGCCAGCTAGGCGAGCCAGTTTCCTCCCTGGAAAGCACTTTGCAATGCGGGGTCAATTGCAAATTGCTTGAGATTGTCCCGTTTGGTGGACCTGGTTATCTTTGTGTCCACTGCCTTGCTTAGACCAAAACATTGGTTTCCATCTTTTAAGTGACTTGGAACAATGGATGGGCACAACCGAATGGCAGCAGCTGACCCAATATGGACCTAACTCTTCACGGTCTGCCTTCAAAGCTGACAGCCCGATTGCCGATTCTGAGCTGACTCCTTCCTGTGAGCTTTTTGCAGTGGCCAACGGGAGCCTCACCCTTGAATGACTAACTCCTGCGATATAAACACACCCATGCATTGTAAATAATCAATGAAAGGTTTTATTCTAACTGGGCTTTGAGACTATGTTTTTTCCTAAGGCTAAGATAACTGGTATAAAATGAAAGTTAGAGCAAAAGAAACAGATTTCCCCACAGTTCTGGAAGCTGGAACCCCAAGATCAAAGCAGTGAGAGGGCCAGGCTTTCTCCGTGGGTTCTAGAGCACAATCGTCTATTGTCTCTTCTAGCTTCTGTTGACTGCTAACAAACTAGAGCATTCCTTAGAAAGGTCACTGGCATGTGGGAGAGCTGAATGGGCTATGGGACAGACTGGACTAGTCTGCTGTACATACTGGCAAGTATGAGAACCAGGGCAGGGGGCGGGCCCAGTGGGGGTTATTGCGGGTCACTCTGACTAGGCTGCAGCTCCCACCGGTTTGTGTGAGGGCCGAGTGTGTGCTGGGCAGAATCAGGCTGGACCGCAACACCCATTCGTTTGTGTGAAAGACAGGGCTGGAAATAGAACCGACGCAGCAATTGCAACCACCAGCTGATTGGGGCGATGGACTATGCCAGACTCTGTACTGGCAAGCACACACAGAATCTGGTCTGGGATTACTTCAGACGAAGTTTCTTTGAGGATCCCCCCAACTGAACTGCTGGACTCAGAACCCCAACCATGAAGAGAAGTATAAGTTCCAAGGTCTGACCATGGAGTGAATGTGTCAAAACTTCTTCAGAGGCTCAGACAGAGCAGGTGCACATGGAGGATGTGGCAGTCCGTCAGAACCTGCAGAGGACACCTGGTACCACAACAGAGAATGGAGGAATAAATCAATCAACTACCCAGCCATGTGCTGCCAGTGACAATCTGGGCAAACGGAGACTCTAAGGTGGACTATGTCAACCAGTAGATTTTGTAGTGATTTCATCGTGCTTGGAATGGGGAGATTGGCAGCAATTCAGAACTGTTGAATTATCAAAACCACTCGTGCAAGACCCACGGAGCATGCCCCACATCGGGGACCTGGGGTGGGAAGCTGAGTGGGGCTTCTCCCTTTATCTCCTTCTTTACCCCAGATACAGAAAAAAAATAAAATAATAGTGTAGAAACAATAGTCTTACCCACTTTCCTGTAGCCCTTGACCCTTTATGCCCTAATCAACTATGTAAAGATTGTCAAAATGAAATAATAATAATAAAAGAGAGGTCATTTGATCCCACGAACACCTGTATATCTCCATAGTGTCCTTTTGTGCACATCTCTCTCCAGATCCTACTTCCGGTCTCTCGGGTGAGATGCCAGTCAAACCACATGGATTCGAGCCCCCTAAATCTGTAACGACAATTCCCAAATAAGGTACCATTTTTCTATACTATCAATTAGGGCCTTAACTTCCCTCTTTGTTTTAAGGGGGGAGCACAATTCAGTACAGAAAAATGACATATTGAGCTGAGAAGCCACCAACTTTCATGCGGGGGCCTTTGGACTGGCGTGCGTGGCAGGCCTCCAAGGGTTAGACTTCATTGGTTCACTGTGGAATGCCTTCCTCTGAACTGTCTCTGATGTGCAAATGCAGCTCCACGCGACATTCTTCTATCCTTTCCCCAAGCATTTCCCTGGAATGTTAAACCAATGTGGTTCTTGCACGTCAGTTCTGCTCACCCACCTGCCAGCCCTCAGAGGACAAATTAGTAACAGGGCTTTCCTCTCACGGATTTTCTTAGAGAGGTCCCGGGATCTTTGCTAATAAAATGAGGTCAGAGGCAGGTGTCACCCTGATCTTCCCTCTCCTCTTTCAGTTATGTCTTTCCTTTTAGTTTCTCCGGGCTTGCTTACCATCAAACGCCATTTATTCAATAGTAGGAAACTTGAAGAAGTGAGGGGCTGCCACCTGTTACACCAGCATCCACATCAGGGAGCCAGTATGGGTCCAAGCCTCACTGCTTTCCAACCCAGCCCTCTGCTGATGCTCCTGGGAAAGCAGCAAAGGATGGCACAAGTATTTGGGGGCCTGCCACCCCCATGGGCTATCTGGCTGGTGCGGGGCTCCTAGTTCCAGCCTGGTCCAGCCCCAAGTGTTCCGCTGTTGCTGCCATTTGGTGCATGAACCAAAGCACAGAAGTCTTCTCTCTTTCTCTTTCTCTCACTCTCTTGCTCTCTCATCTCCTTGCTAACAAAAATAAATGCGCCTTTTGAAAAAGACAACAGATAGTAGGTAGCACCTAAGCAACCGGAGAGGAGGGAACAGATGGACGGCTCTGTCCCCCGAAATGTCCAGAAGACAGAGCACAGCCCTTCAGCCTTCCTCCCTACGGAAAGAAACACGGAAGGTGACTGCTTCCTCCATGGGAATTCTGCCTTCTCCCCAAAGACGTAATCTTTCTCTTGGTCCAGCCACCCTAATGCAGTTTACTGATAAAGACTGGACCTACTTTGGCTTATCTTGCAGGAGGAAGGCAAAGAAGAAGAAACCCACAGTCTAAAACCAGCCTTGGAAAAAGTTAGCAGTTTTATTATCAGGACTCCGTGTCCACTGTCCACACCGCAGTACTTGGAAAGATGTTAGCAATAACAGAACAATCAGCACCACGGTGTTGTGTGTCATTATAACTCCAGTATAGAGAGAAGAGCCTGTGCTCACGCCAACAACCTTCACTGAGTCTCCCGAGGAGGAAGCAGTCCAGCAAGAGGGCAGAGTTCACCTCCCCGGGTAAATCACCTCCCTGCCATGCCCTCTCCCTGCAGGCTCTGGTGGGTGGGGCAGAGGCAGCCTGCAAGCAAGCAGGACCAGCCCAGCCTTCCATCAGGAGCCATCTGCAGAGCAACCCTGCAGTACTGGAGACTGGGAAACTGGGCTTGGTTTTTCTTTCCCATTTGTCATTTTACGTGCTTTGTACCTCCCATCCATGTCCTTAAATGGTAAGGAAGACACCCATAGGGAATTACACCCTTAATGTGTAATTCAGAGGAAATGGAGTGAGTTTTGTGTTCGGCAAAGGACAGCTAAGATTAGCTAGGGAATTATCTCACAGGCAGGAGCTGGGAGGCAACCTTGAACTCACAAGGTTCCCCCGTGAGAGTGAACAAGTCCCAGAGAACTGCCTGTCTGTGCTGACATCTGGCTTTTATTCTCAATACTTCCTGTTCCTATCCTTCAGGAAGCCAGAACACGTCACGGTTCCCAGAGCCGTATGTCTGGACAGGGGACGTGTGAGACGTAAGGTGACCGCCTCCGTGCGCCCTGCAGACACCATCACCTTCATTCTCGCGGTCCCAAGGCCCCAGCTTGCGGAAGAGAGGCCGTGATAGCCAGCAGAACAGCAGTGTCAGGAGTCCCCTGAGCAGCGGTGGCTTCTCCGAGCACTGTTGTCTCTGCCCTTCCCCACTGACCTGGAGTTTTAGAGGTAGGTAGAGGTCCAAGAATTAACGAGAAAAGGTGACACTGGGAAAGTGCATCTTGCCTTGGGAGACACGCAAGAAAGCCACCTGCTTCTATGCTCATTTAAGAGGCTAGATCTTCATGCAATCTGCCAGTAGCTGGTTGGTAGCTTGACTCAGCCATGGTGGAAGTACTCAGTAGAGCACCCGGAGGAGAGTGGATGCTGCAGAGCGGAGCCCTTGGGAATGGTTCTCCCCTGGAGCATCATGGTCGCTTGCACACCTCTGCCCCAACCTGAGCACAGTAGGAGCCCGAGGCAGAAACTCCCCTGAACTATTTTAGAAACAGAGTGACTGAGCGTTTTAGGTGCTGAGTGAACACACAGAGAGGGAATCCTACTCCTTGCAAGAAGAGGGAACTCCACAAAACAAAATCATTGTGCAGCCGTTGGTAAGAAGCCCAGGAAATGCAGACGTGTCCCAAGGCTGCCAGCTGGGTAGTCAGGTGGCCTGGCGCCAGTGGCTACCAATGGCTACTCCCGTCTTCAACTTCGGCAGAATGGAAGGAGAAGAGCAGGTTGTCCAAAAGTGATCTTTCTTTTCCAGAATCTGGAACCTGTCCCACAGCACTGGGCTCGTCGAGTTCAGTAAATGAGAGCCAGTCCACTCGCGGGAGCCGCCCGGGGCCTGTGCCCAGGGACCACCTGGCCAGCGCGCCTTCTGCATCCCACAGGAAGGGCCCTCATTCCCACCCTGCTTCTCTGCGGGTGAGGAGGCCCCCATGGTCAGGGTGTACTCCGGAGTCCTTTACAATGAGCCTTTCTTACTAGGAATTCCACACTGGCTGTCTCCAGAAGCCTCCACAGCACTGCCTGGGCATGCTCACCCACCTTCTTTAATGTCAGCCACCCAGCCCACGGCAGGCTGCATTTCAATGTGTGAAATTCAACAGGCAGGTAATTATCAGGATCAGTCCCTCACACCTGCTGCCACAGAGGCAGCAGAACCAGAAGCCTCCAGGTGTGTGTGAGCCACTGCCAGTCCTAACCTCCCCTCCAGGTCCCTGTGTGTGAGCCACTGCCAGTCCTAACCTCCCCGAGACCTCCAGGTCCCTGTGTGTGAGCCACTGCCAGTCCTAACCTCCCCTCCAGGTCCCTGTGTGTGAGCCACTGCCAGTCCTAACCTCAAACACGTCTTACAGAGAGAACAGTGTATTTTTTTTTCTCACTCTTTCTCCTTACCCTTCATTTCTTATTTCTTGACTTTGCATTTTCGTCCAAGGAGAATGAAAGCATTTAACATTTAAATGCCACAAAAGAGTCTTAGTGATTCACAACTCTGCGAACTGCAGGAAATAAGTAGTAGAGTCAGTCCCTGTGTCTGTGGGTTCCACATCTGTGCACTGAAAACAACCCAATCAAAAATCTGATACACACTAAACATGAGTGACTTTTACCTTGTCGTTATTCCCTAACCAGTACAGAACAGCAGCTATGGAAACAGCGTTTACATTGTATTGGGCGCATGGGAAATAACGTGGGGAATGATTTAAAGTTCACGAGAACATTCCATATGAGGTTAGAACATCTGTGGATTTTGGAATCCACAGGGGATCCTGGAACCAACCCCATGTGGACAGGAGAGAAGACAATATGTTTGGTTTTCGGAGAAAACTTTGTGTACGGGTCCTAATCAGGCGTGCTATGCTGCAGACTTGCTTGGTGCCTTGGAATGGCTCCCTTACTGCGGGACAAAGCACGCAGCCTCTCATCCCAACGCACTAAGCGTTTCCTGGACCTCTCCTCTGGACCCAGAGGAAATGCAGAATGAGCTTACGTGGGTAGGACAGCACAACTAGTTCTAAGGGTAGAAATAAAATGTATCCCATTCAAAATCAGAATATTGAATCACTCATTAAAAAGCAAACCCTCTCAGAGGGGCAGGTGTTTGGTTAAGATGCCACATCGGAGTCCCTGGTGATGACTGGAGTCCTAGGGTCCCTGTCACCCGCATACAGAAGGAGTCCGGGCTCCTGGACCCTCCGCTGGCCGCTGGAGGCATCTGAGAAGAGAGCTAGAGGAGAGATCTCTGCTCTGCTTTTTCTAGTTCTCTCTCTGCCTCTCTGTCTCTCAAATGAATGAGTACTTTTTTTAAACAAAGGACCTCCCAGAGCAATTGCTCCCTCTGCCCTAAAGACCAGCACCTTTTCTGACGGGGTGTCCCCTCAAACACGTCCCTGGACAAAAGCTGAGAGGAAGCGGATCCCCCAGACGCCGCCTGGTGGAGGAGCTGTGGCCCTAAGGCACCCAGGGTTGAGGGTGAGTGGCCACCGCAGTGTCATCTCCTAACTGATTCAAACTCCCCCTTTCTTCCTCTGCTCTCCCCACCAGCTCCGAGTGAACTGCCCACGACTTACTCCTGAGCTCAGAGCCCTCTGTCCGCTCATGTCTGCACCAATTTCATCTTTGTTTGAGAAATGCAGTAAGCTTTCGGCTGTGGCCATGGCCCCAGTCTGCAGCCTCTTGGGAGGGTTCCCGCATACACTTACAGACAGGCAAACTTCCCTGCTTTCTCCTGTGAACCTCTTTGTCAATTGCATTATTAGACCCAACGATCCTAAGAAATCATCTCTCCCCTGAACAATAGAAATTAGAAGCAGAGGCGCTCGCTTCAGCAGCGCAACACTAAGAAACTGGACAACTCCAGCGTCCTTCCCCACTCCTCCTCCCGCCTGCCCACCACTCTTCTGCAGCCCCTTGGCATGAGCCGCTCCTGCAAGGGAGAAGCAGAAGAAAAAAAGGCCAAGGTCTACCGCGCATGGGAGGAGTGACAGGTCAATGAGCCAGAGACCAGGAACATCCTGGTTGGCCAACCCAGTCCGAGGCACAGTTCAGGCTCCGAGAAGCCCTATTGCGCCTATTGTCTGCGCCTGCCTCCCTGCCATCGCAGCTTTGGGTGGAGAACCCTAAATGCTTTCCTTGCAAGTGTGACCTTCCGATGACTCTTAATCGGCAACTTGAGAGGCCGGGGTTGCAGCACAGAGGGCCAAGTTGCCGCCTGCCTGCCTGCCGAGCTGACATCCCAGGTCAGTACTGTTTGCAGTCTCTGCTGGTCCACTTACCACTACCTGATAATGCACCTGGTAAAGTAGTGAAAGCTGGTCCCTGTCGCACACCTTGGAGACCTGGCTGGAGCTCCCGGCTCCTGGATGAGACAGTTGCAACCATCTGGGGAGTGAATCTCTCTCCTTCATTCTTCCTCTCCCTTTCTCTCTCTGTAACTCTGTCTTTATAAATAATTTTTTAAAAATAGGTTGGGACTGGCACCGTGGTATAGCAAGCTAATCCTCTGCTTGTGGTGCCAGCATCCCATTTGAGCACCAGATGGAGTTATGGATATTCTACTTTTTCTTCTTTTTATTATTATTATTATTTTTAAATCCTTTTTTAAAAGAAGATTTATTTTATTTAAAAGGTAGATCGACAGACAGAAAGAGCCAGAAACAGAGAGAGATGTTCCATCTGCTGATTCATTCCCCAAGTGGCCACAAGAGCTGAGCCAATCTGAAGCCGGGAGCTTCATCTGCATCTTCCATGGGAGCGCAGCAGCCCAAGGACTGGAGCCATCCTTTGCTGCCTTCCCTGTCCTCTACCTCTGATCCGACTCCCTGCTGCAGGCATGGGGAAGCAGAGGAGGATGGCTCCAGCCCTTGGGCCCTGCACCATCTGGGAAGCCAGGAAGAAGCTCCCGGCTTCCGTATTCAGACGGGCCAAGCTCTGGACGGTGCAGCCATGTCGGGAGTGAACCAGCAGTTGGAAGATCTTTCTTTGTCTCTTCCTTTCTGTAACTCTGACATTTGAGTAAAATAAATATTTTTTTCTTAAAAAAAAAATAGGAAGTTACTTGAATGCGTCGCTTTTCTTTGAAAACCGAACACTGTTTTCAGTAGATACTCCATTGCATCTAACTGTCCCAAAACAAGCATCTACTTTCTACACAAAGAATTTGTATTTTTAATTGCAAAAACAAATCTTGGGTCTTGGCTAAGTGTTGGACACAGTGACCAAGCCATCGTGTGGGATGCTGGCACCCCACATATCACAACGCTCGATTAGAGTCCTCCACCTGCCTCAGGTCATGGAAGACCCTGGAGGACAGGAGATGTCTCAAGTAGGCTGGTCCAACCATCCACACGCGACCTTGACTGAATCACCAGATCCTCACTATGCTGTGGCCCAGTCGTGGCTATTGCAGGCATGTGTAGAGTGTAGTGGTAGATAGGAAAAAAATTGTGTGCGGGTAATTTTCTAATTGCCTTTCAAATTAAAAAAAAAAGACATAAATGAAAATTATTTTCATCCAGAGCAACATTTAATGTGCCAGAGAATAGTTGTTGTATCACTTGTGTCCACGAGATGGCGCCTTTGCAGGCCGACACGCTCCCTGTTTTTCCGAAACTTCATCTTGTCGCGCTGTGAACACCAACACCTTCACCAATGTGACTGACCCTCTGCCTTCCTGAAAAGTCAGCACTGCATTAGCAGCTGTCTCCCACTGGGCCTGTAACAGCTGCCCCGGAGGGCATTCTCCTCGGGGATGGGGGATGGATGCATTGCAGGCACAAAGCGTCCATGGAAGAAAGCAAAGCTATTGGGTGGCCAGCGGGAGCCAAGAGGGCAGCAGGAGCCACGTCCTGCAGAGGGAGGGTACGCAGTCTGTGTGCAGGAGACAGACGGGGCAGTGTCAGAGGGCTGGTGGGAGATCTCTCTGCAAAGCTGCCTTTTGCCTCGACTCGCCATCCTTAGCCTATTCCACCATTTTTTCAAGGCGTATTTGTTGATTTGAAGAATTGCAGAGAAGAGGTGGTGGCGGGGAGATGGTGAGAAGAAAATCTCCATCCCCAAATGCTGCAATGACCAGAGCTGGGAGGGTTCAAAAGCCAAGAGTCCCGAGCTCCCCCGCGGGCCCAGGGGCCCAGGGGCTCGGGCATCTTCTGTGGCTTTCCCAGGCATCTTAGCAGGGAGCTGGGCTGCAAATGGAGCAGCTGGGGCTCGGATCAGCCCCCCTCTGGGATGCTGACACCACGGGTGGCAATGTTACCACCATGCCAGCCCCTCCTCCTGCCCGGGTTTCCCGTTCTCTCTTTTTTTTTTTTTCCAAGATTTATTTTTATTTTTTTTTTTTTTATTGGAAAGGCAGATATACAGAGGAGAGACAGAGAGGAAGATCTTCCGTCCGATGATTCACTCCCCAAGTGAGCGCAATGGCCAATGCTATGCCGTTGTATCCGGGGCCACAGGCAGGGAGCTGGAAGGGAAGCAGGGCTGCCGGGATTAGAACCGGCGCCCATATGGGATCCCGGGCGTGCAAGGCGAGGACCTTTAACCACTTGCGCCACCGCTCCGGGCCCCGTTCTCTTTTTCATCAGTAGCCTTGCGATGGTTCATCGCTACTTCTGCTAAATCCTGTCTTTGGGGTGAATCTCAACCTTGGCACATGTCATAAAACACCAGATATCACCCTACACCAACGAACCCAGGGTCTCACTTTTACAAACCTCTGCTTGGAAGGTGAAGGCTGAGAAATACCTCTGAACGCCAGGCCATGCTGGCCTATGATCAGGCTGACTTTAAACAAAGCAAGCTGGTCTTGAAATCCCCCATTCTTTATCCCATTTATTTATTTATCCTTCGAAAGGTGAGGCAGAACCAGGGGGAGGAGAGCCCTGTTCCTCCTGCTGATGCCTCCACAGATGCCCGCATTGGCCGCAGCGGGGCCAGGTGAAGCAAGGCCAGGGACTCCCTTCAGTGCTCCCACTGCGAAACACAGGCTCAGGTCTTTGCCATCTCAAGTCCCAAAGGACTCATCGGCAGGATGTGGAACGGAGCGGAGCGAAAAGGCAGGGACGGATGCAGAACCTCGGAACTGGGCCCCAGCTGTGCCAACGGGGGGGGGGGGGGTCTTCACCACTGGACGCACAGCTCCACTCCTCTAAGCCAACCTTGCTGAAGCTCACACATATGAACACCTAGCAGGCACAGCAGCGCACGGGGACACGGCATGGCGCTAGGCCCCCTCACACTCACCTTCCCGCAGCCTCCCTCCCTCACACTCACCTTCCCGCACCCTCCCTCACACTCACCTTCCCGCAGCCTCCCTCACACTCACCTTCCTGCACCCTCCCTCCCTCACACTCACCTTCCCGCACCCTCCCTCACACTCACCTTCCCACAGCCTCCCTCCCTCACACTCACCTTCCCGCAGCCTCCCTCACACTATCTTCCTGCAGCCTCCCTCCCTCACACTCACCTTCCCGCAGCCTGCCTCCCTCACACTCACCTTCCTGCAGCCTCCCTCCCTCACACTCACCTTCCCGCAGCCTCCCTCACACTACCTTCCTGCAGCCTCTGGCTCCCCGGCCTTGTCATATGCATGGCTACTTGCTCACTGGCCTGAAATCACTCTGTCTTTTCCCTTTTCCCAAACTCCTCACTCATTCTACAAACTCTCGTTTCATCTCCTTCCGCAGTGGAGCCTTCCTTGGCCTTCCGTTCATGGGGAGGGTGCGGGGAGGGAGGACCCGGTCCTAGGTGACCCGAGAAGCCCTAGTGGAGGAGGAAGGAGTGTAAGAGAGTCTCCTGGACTCTGCAGAGGGTTTTTAGGATGGTAGTTTTGGGAGAATAATTGTGTAACCCCCTCATCTGATGCATGCTTTCTCACATCTCACAAACCGTCCTTCTCTGCCTCATCACAGTCACAATTCTCCAGTTGTCTGTGATAATTTGATTTATGCTCATCTTTCTCGCTGGATTTTAGGAGATTTATGTTAGCACTAGGAATGAACAGCTGTGTGGCTGGACAAGCTAGAAAGCTGAGCTTCCTCCAGCTCTGATGTACCTTGCCTCTTGTTGTGTATTTTGTCCAGAATGCTCTTTCCCTAGCCACTACCTTGTCTCGTCCTTGGAAGCAGCTTTAGACCCGCCTGTAGGGATGGCCACACCAACTAGCTGAGAAGATGCGCCCTGTGGCACAGCATCTAAGTCCCCTTGCCGGCTCAGCCTCCTGGCTCCCACTTCTGACCCGTTCTGTTTTCCATGCTCTGAAGAGGCACTCCACATCCTCTACTGGCCTAGACGAGCTGGCCATCATGTCCCTGCATGCACCTGGACATGCTGTAATCTGCAGAGGCGCAAGGTCAGACCACACAGTCTGCAACTTTCCCTGTGGCCAGGTCTGAGTCCAGTGGTCCAGTCAAGGAATTCCCCTTTGGTGACCTCAGACTTGACCCTTGCGTGCACCAGCCAGGGCAGGGTCAGGTGGATCTGTCATCTGACCAGCCAACACACATATCGTACAGTAGATGGAGCTTCCTCAGTTCTGTCCAGCCCCGTTTCTCACACAAACCTACAGATGCCACAGCCCAGCCCAGACAGCCCACAACAGACCCAGTCCTCATACAGCAGCGGTTGTCTTGGCCTAGTTGGAATAACCCCCAGTCACCCCCCACCAGGCCAGCTCCCAGCAGCCTAGCCAGGCTCAGCCCACATCCCATCCTCCCATCCGGCGCTTGTGCACACCTACAGGTGCTGCAGCTTAGCCTGGCCTGACCCGCCTGCAGACCCAGCACTCACTGTGCAAACATGTGCCACCACCTTGTCCAGCCTGGCCCTCACCTAGCCCTGGTTCTTGGGCTCACCAGTGACAGGTACAGCCTAGCAGAAGAGTGCCCACAGTTCCCCTGCCAGGAATGTTCCCAGCCCTGGATCTTGTGCCTGCCAGGAGGTACTGTGGCCCAGTCTGCCATGACTCACACCTGGCCCAGTTCCAGCCATTGCAGCTATTTGGAGACTGAATCAGCCGTTGGAAGATCTCTGTCTCTCCCTCCCTGTCACACTGTCTTTCAAATAAATAAAACCTCAGGGCTGCTGTTGCAGCCTAGAGACCCCTCATCAGGGTAAGCCACCTTCTGCAACTGGCGTCCTGTGTGAGTGCTGCTTCCTGTCCTGGCTAGCACACTTCCGAACCAGCCACCTGCTGAGGCACCTGGGAAAGCAGCAGAAGATGGCCCAAATGCTTGATCCCCTGCCACCCACATGGGAAACCAGGAAGAAGTTCCCGACTCCTGGCTTTAGCCTGCCACAGCCTCAACCATCACTGACATCTGGAGAGTGAGCCAGCAGATGCAAGATCTCTCCCTCTGACTCTCCTCCCTCTTTCAGTGCCACTCTGCTGCCAAATAAATACATCTTCATACATGTATTCATTTATTATTTAAAAACAGAAGAGAGGGAAGGGGAGAGGTTTTCCACCTGCTCATTCTTTCCCAAATGCCAGCCACAGGCAGGGCTGCAGCAGATGGAAGCCAGGAACCAGGAACTCCACCCTGACCTCACGTGTGGGTGTCAGGAAGCCAAGGCATGGGTCATCATGTACTACCAACCAGGATCATCAACAAGACGCACCTTGTAGAAAGGAACAGAGCTGCGGGTTCGAGTGCCGACACTCCTCTAAGTGCCCCAAGTGGCAGTTTATCCGTTCCAATACAACGCCTGCTTTGGTATTTTGTTTATTTATTAAAAAAAAAAGAAAACAACCTCCTTTTATGGAAGATTTATCTATTTACTCGAATGTCAGAGGGGCAGAATGTCAAGGGGGCAGAGATGAGCTGGGAGAGAGGGTAGTGGAGGGAGAGGGGGTGGTGGGGGAGAGGGGGTGGTGGGGGAGAGGGGGTGGTGGGGGGAGAGGAGGTGGTGGGGGAGAGGGGGTGGCGGGGGGAGAGGAGGTGGTGGGAGAGAGGGGGTGGCGGGGGGAGAGGGGGTGGGGGGGAGCGGGTGGTGGGGGAAGAGGGGGTGGTGGGAGAGAGGGGGTGGCGGGGGGAGAGGGGGTGGTGGGGGAGAGGGGGTGGTGGGGGGAGAGGAGGTGGTGGGAGAGAGGGGGTGGTGGGGGGAGAGGGGGTGGGGGGGGAGCGGGTGGTGGGGGAAGAGGGGGTGCGGGGGTGGGGGAGATCTTCCATCTCCTGGGTGATTCTCCAAATAGCCGTAAGCATCAGAGCTGAGGCAGCCACAAACCAGGGTCCATGCCAAAGCCGAGAGTCAGGAACTCCATCTGGGCCTACATGGGTAGGAGGGGTCTAAATGCCCAGGCCACCGTCTGCTCCTGGAACACTGGAACTCGAACTGACACGAACACTACGTATGGTGACTGAACTAGCCGAGCCACAACACTAAACCTGATAGGTCTCATTTTAATACCCTTAGAAATTAGCTAAATCCCCAGTTAATATATAGGCTGCCTATCCAAACCAAGGTCACCAGAGCTGTAAATTTCATTTTGAAATGTCAAGGAAAACAACCAGTACATTTGCTAGATAGCTTGGACACTAAAATATATAACCTGATTTGGCTAATCGCATGTGCATCTAATAAGCCTCAAAATATTCTCTTCAACCAAAAAAGGAAGAAAAAAAAACAGTAAAAAGACATCACTGAAAAATTACTGCGGTTCATTAAAACATAAAATGTACTATTCACCCCCAAAAAGAGTTTACTAATAAAAATAAGCAGACTTGTGAGCCACTCTCTATTATTGAGTTTTATTTATGGAGTTCTATGCTATTACTTCGGAAAAGTAGTGAAAATAAGATGGCAGTAAACTGGCAAGCAAAAATATATCTAGGGTCTATTTGAAATTTGAGCAGCATTTGGAATTCAGCTGCCCTGAGACTTCTTACAAGGTCAAGGATAAAGCTGACACAAGAGTACGCCCAACCAGGAGCTCAGATTCAGCAGGGAACCGTTTGGAAAGGAGAAGGGAAGACAGAAATGAATCCAATGCATCTCAATGTACCACCTGCAGTTCCAGTTAGGGCACGGTTCCCCGAACAAGCCATCCAACAGAACAACATGGCCATTACAGAGGGCCCCAGATAAATCCTAATATTTATTCATGGGATATGCCTGTGACGGGCACCGTGGGAAGAACAATCCGGGATGTCCTGACCTGATGAGAAATAAACCAGGATCCTGCAGCTAACTTTTCTTGTCATCCTTCCGGGTCCCTTTACAGCGAAACATCAGTCATCCAAGATGACCTCATGTATTTTGAACTTCAAAATGCTTATCTTTTACCAATCTTTATGCATTACTCACACAGCTAAAATATTGGAATAGATTCACCTTTCAAATATATTCCAAAAGAGGGGAAAAATAACTTTTGAAGCTAGGACCAGACTGACTCACCAGATAATCAAACTTTTCCAAAGAAATCTCAAGTTTATATGACTCGGGAAGGTGGCAACACGGTTGGCAAGAGGATGCTGACACCCTGAAGCCTTCAATGAGGGGCAGAGCCTCATGGGAGCATCTCTGGTTTAACTTGGACAACATCCAATCACGGATGAGACAATAGTTTTGGCAAGGTATAATGTTACCAGTAGGTCCATGTTCAA